TTACTAGCTAGGGCCAATCTATGGGCAAAAAATGAGCAAAATCGATTTTTCGACTTGTGCCGTTGTTTGGTCCATAGTTATGGGCACTGGCTCTTAATAATTCTTGTTGCTCTCAAATGGATTCGGTCTATGTCATCTAACAAGGCTGAAGGACAAGATCCCCAGATTGCAATACCATATAGAACACTGGGGATAATTGTTTTATAATAAATAGTTTCCAGAACTGGTTTTGGTAGGAACTTTCTCCGTTTTAAGACTGCTACTTTGTTGCTGAAAGACTTACAAACGTTCTTGATGTGTTCTTGCCATGATAGCTTGTTGTCAATTGTTAACCCAAGACATTTAGATGATTGTTTATACTCAATAGTGCTATTGCCGTATGTCAAACGTGGCAAGGGACCAATAAAGTTCTGACTTGAAATTATCAGGGCTTCAGACTTCGATTCGTGGGCTATTAATCTGTTAGACTGACACCAGGTGTATACTTGGTCTAAAATGCATTGCAGTGTCAAGATGATATTGTCGAAGTCCTTGCCAATTGTATAAATTGTGGTATCATCAGCAAACATGAATACATTACCACTAGTTATCGATCTAGGAAGGTCATTTACAAAGATAGAAAATAATTTGGGCCCTAATATTGAGCCTTGGGGAACTCCATACGTAATTGTTTTGGGCTCGGACTGATATTCTGATAATTGGACAAACTCGGCTTACGAGCAGACATATAATCGTCAAGCCAGGAGAGCAAGTCACCTGATACACCAATGGCTTTTAGCTTTTCTAGTAGGATAGTATGGTTTACGGTGTCAAAAGCTTTTCGAAAATCAATGAAAAGTACGCCCACTTTTAGGCCCTTGTCCAGTGCATTTCTCCATGTTTCAGTTAGATGAAGTAAAAGGCTCTCGGTTGAATAATTTTTTCGAAATCCCCATTGTTTGTGGCATAACAAACCTTGTGTATCCATATGGTTGTTCAGGGTATCGCAGACAACATCTTCTAAGATTTTTCCAGGGATACTGAGAGGGGAGATTGGCCTGTAGTTGTTTACGTCTGTTGGTGATCCTTTCTTAAATATGGGACTGGCACGTGATAATTTCCAGCTTGAGGGGAAAGATGCATAAAAATTCGTAATAGACTATGGATAACAGGGTCACCAATTATAGAGAGGTCCCTTGGGGATACATAGTCAGGACCAGTAGCCTTTTTGGGGTTAGCAGCCTTCATCAGTTATTCTTTTACCAGATCCCAGCTCATGTAGGTCAGTGTTGTCTCTGGAAGGTGTGACTCTAGTGATAAAGGTGTTTAAGGATGAGAAGTCCAAAGGATCGAGTTGCTTAGTGAGGTCTTCGCTGACATTCACAAAAAAATCATTGAAATGCTCAGCCTTCTGTAGGTCATTGGTTATTATCTCCTCGTTGTGGTTGTGATCACAGATTGGACCAATGTTTTTGACTTTGTGTTTTCTCAAAACTTGGTTAGTCAATTTCCAGAATTCATTTGGGTTNGGCATACAGCATCATCATCATTACGTCTGGAATCAATTCTTCTCACACCCGGCCCTACAATGAGAAAAATATTGCTATTGTCCCATATGGACTTACAATCCCTCTTTTAGCGCGTTGCTAGCTTCATTGAAATATCCAAAAAAGAGAGAGCAGTTGCGTTTTTTTCCTGAAATTATACACTTACTGACTTCTTTCATATGTGTTCGCAGTACTTTGCATTTCACCAGCTGGTAGACGTGCGTGATTTGGTGGAACCGGTAATGCCAGATGACTGGGACAAGTATTTTCCTGAGGGTGTTCAAAACCAGTATTGCATGTCCTTATCCCAGGACCAAGCCACCGACTGAGGGACCTGGAACCTAACTACATTGCTGAGAAAACACAAAACAACAACAACAACAACAACAACAAAAACAAACAGTATTTTGTTGACAAAGGGTGGGAACATTTGTCTATGGGGAAAACAAAATAAATAATATAAATCTCACATGAAGGTGAGATGATGAACAAAAGTTTGAAATAAATTGCAAGCAACTTGGAAAAAAACTAAAACAAAAGACTAGTAAAACAAATAATTCAGAAACCTGAAACTTTAAACTGGAGCTGCTTTTCTAAAAAGAGCTAAATATACACTGAAAACCCTTGACCAGAAGTTAAAAGTCTACCTGGCGTTCAGTAGTAACATGGATATTGTTACGACACAAGTTCTGATTCCAAATTAATAAAATGAAATGAACGAGACTTGAAAATGTTCCCTAAACGCCAAAAGTTGGAGTGAACAGGGTCTGGTTAAACTCTACAAAATCCAAAATTATTATTTTTTAGTTAAACCAAAGTTAAACCGTGGTTTTGATGAAATACTACGTCCCCTCACTCAGTACCTGTCAGTACTAATCCTTTTTGAATACAAAATTGCAAAGATTTATAATCACGATTGTAATTCGCATTTATTTCAAACTAGTTTATTTAAAACGGCGAAGGAAGAATATGCTTGCCTTTGAGTTTCTTGTCCTTGGGTTTACCAATTACTTTAATAAAGGCTGTTTAACATGAATGGTTAGTGCACTAGGTTAGAAAAAGAAAACAATGCATGTGACATAAATCATTGGCATAGCCATTGTGACCATTGCATGAAATCGCCATGTTTATTCTGTTTAAATTAATATCTTAAATACGTTTAAGCCCTCTTTATTGTTATACAATTTAATGTCAAGACTGAAATTATATTTCCCATTGGTTTCTTCAGTTTTGAAGGTAATAAAGTATGTTTGTACAACAGTAACTAACCTTCTGTTCTTCGATAAAAAAAAAAAAAAAAAAAAACATTGAGTATTTTCAGGAACATGTGCTCCTGGGGTTCGGCTGACCTCACAGTCTGAAAAAAAGTGTTAGTGTGAGTGCCCTGTGTCAGTCCTGCCGGACTCCGCCTGAAAGTGCTGCCTTTTTTAGGGTTGTGGTATACAAAAGAGAGATTTCATAACCAGCAGCGGATAGGAAAGGGTAGTGAAAACTGCCATTGGGGTATCTAGAAGGCCTTTTAGGAATATGCCTCGACCAAACACATCTAATTATAACTAAATATTTGGGTTCTTCAATCCAATGTAAAGAAAAGGGACGCAGTGGGCATATTCAGTATTGTAACCCTTTCAAATGGCAAATGGTAACCCTTTCACATACCTACGGTAGGTACGTATAACTAACCCCAACTACAAGGAACCTTTTTTACTATCCCTTAAAGAGAAATATTACCCTCCCCAAACAATAAGATACTCTACCCCTATATTATCCTTACTTACTACACCTAACCAGGAATATATATAATTATTTAACCTATAAACCCCATATTCGTATTTTTAATTTCAAGTTCTAATCAAATTTAATTTACTGGTGACCTCGATTAGGGTGCTTCGCTATAGAAGCCAATCGCTCAACATAACCGCTAACATAATTATAACTTTCAGTTTGTTATTTTCCTTTCCCAAGCGCGCATACTTTGCCACACCCGCTATAGCCACTGTGTTCGATCACAGCAGTTTGGGAACCCTTGTACTAAGTTAGGATTCCATATTTCAGTACTAAGTATGCCACAAAGGGTTCAGTTAAAGTGCTACCGAAACGAAATTTTCGTATGTGAGATTTTTGCTTAGTAATAAAGTTTCAACCTTACTTAGAAACACTGAAGACTTCTTTTTTCGCATACGGTAAGCGAAAACTGTTTTTTTTAGCCGTTCAAAGTTGGCTGGTTAAGCCCAAAATTGGCGGCCATCTTGGCGCGGCCAAAACAGCTTAGTGACGTCACTGGTTGTATTACTCTCATGCCGCGCTGAAAATTTAGAGCAATTATGGGAGAAGAGAATACTGTTCGAAGCCCCCCCCCCAAAAAACATCTTAAGGACATCTCAGAGCTGTAAACAGACAATAACAGTAGCCTTAGACATGAAGAGGTGGAGAGTCGATCCTGAGGCTTTTCAGTCTTTTTAGTTGGATATTTCCAGGATATTTTATGTAAGCAAGCAAACGAGTGCGAGTTCTTAAATCGTAAAATGATCGGGACACTTGGGCAAATGGCCAGCACTCAATTAAACAATATCTACCCTCATAAAGTAAAAAGGACATGAAAACAAGAGAAAGCGGCTTTTGAAAATATTATCCGGAGTGCTGCTGCACGAATCGCAGTTTGGAAACGTGATTACCAACTCATACAGCCGTTAATAAGGCGGTTTAAACTGTCATTATATTAGACATTAATTAAAAGTTCTCATCTGACAGGGCATCGAGATGCCAAAATGATGATATTATTTATTGAGCACGGGTTCTAAAATTGAACATCCTGTCTTCTCACTGACTCGTCTTGATGGACAATTTGGTGCAGGACCAAGGAATAACAAAAAGAAGAAAATTTAACGACTATTTAATATGCTTGGAACAGTTCTGAGAAACAACCAAGCCAGCTGTCGTTACTTCATCTGGCGCAGCAGTGCCAGTTTCCAGTTTGCCGTCTGCTTCCAGTTTCGTCGATGTAAAGATATGAAAGGAGGGCAAAAAGCAAAAAGCAATTTGAGGCGAAAGCTGATAGGTCCCTTCATTTTTTGTTGAGCTACTCACGAAATAGGAAACCCTAATTACTGTTCAAATAGTCAGCTTATAGCTGGAACAAATATAGATCTGCCTATCAATTATGGAAATTTCTTAATCAATCTTTCTTTTCGCGCGAATGACGACATCAAGCTGCCTTCGCTAGAACATAAATAGAGTGACGTTTATACTTAATGAACCAACCAGAAGAAAACTCACTTGTGAGCGTAAGAGCGGAAACAAAAACTAAACGGCAATGTCGGAAAACGTGAATACAACGATGAATGGAACACAGCCATCGAGCTGCCCCAGCGCTTCTACAGCAGAAAAAATTGGATCAACTTTTGCTTACTGCCTGATCTTCATTGTTTCTTTGACTGGGAACACCGTCATAGGAATAATTGTCTACAAAACGAAAACCATGAGAAAACCCATCAACTTTTTCATTGTAAACATGGCCACGTCTGATCTGCTGCATCCGATAATTGTTATCCCTAGGAGGATACAAGAGCTCTATATAGACTCCTGGCTGATCGGTGGTCCTCTTGGTCAGGCCTTATGTAAGCTGATTGTTTCCTTAGCAGATCTCTCTGCTACTGTGTCTATTCAGAGCCTTGTTCTGATAGCAGTGGATCGATTTGGTGCTGTGGTATTTCCTCTCCGTTCTCCACTCATCAGTTCAAAGCTGTGCCCGTTCTTCATTCTCGCCACTTGGATCGTCGCGATTGCTGTTAGCTCCCCAGAGCTCTTTGCCTTCAAACTTGTTGAATATCCAAGAAAACTTGTTTGTGAGCGGCATTGGAATGAAGTTTTTGGAGAGTCTTCATCCTTTGAGAATTACCTCTTGTCTTTTACAGTTGTATTCATGTTTATCCCGTTGGTGTTGATAACCATAATTTACATTATCATCTATCTAAAGCTCAAGTCGCAGAAGATTCCAGGCGCACAATCAGCCAACGCTGGACAACGACGTCAGCAAAGGGAGCGAAATGTGCTAAAGATGGCCGTTGCTATCGTGTTAGGGTGTGCAGTATGCTGGCTGCCCCTTGCTATCTTCTGGTTTATTCTTGTCCTTACGGATATCAACATATTGCCGAATTGTGGCGTCCCATACTTTCTCTCTGTTGTCTATTTTATGGCTTCAGCAAATAGTGCCGTAAATCCTTGTATCTGTTTTATTTTCAGCAGCAATTATCGCAAAGAACTTAAGGCTCTCCTTAGATAAATGACTTTGAACAGCGTAATAGCTGATGGAACGTATGTACGTACAAGCGAGAGGTTTAGTCGATCTGAAAGTCGTAAAAAACGTCTATTAAAAAACTTGCTTTTTATTTGATTCAATATGTACACTATGACTAAAAGAAACTTTGCAGAACGGTTTTAGACCTATTATTGGACACTGACTTTGCCATCATTTCAGTTGCAGTTATTCTACAAACTTGATTTGTAATTTTCTTAAATTCATGAGACGTTTTCAGCTGTCCTAAACCGTGTAAATAAAGTTTCAATACTGCTTTTTGTTTGATTCAATGCCACGTGATAAACCTCATTCCTTTGTCATCATTTGTAGTTATTTCGTAAACTACTTATTCTCCTAATGATTAGGAATAAATAAAGTGCATAAGTGCTATTTAGCAACTTTCTTAGTTAGGAAGCAATTAAGTACGTGACAACGTCAATATTATGTTGCATGATAAAGTCCGGCCGATTCCCATTACTCGGTCATGTCTATGTAAAATTCTCTTTTACTTCTGCTCTCAAATGGATATATATGAAAGATAATAATTTCCCAGCTGCTTAAGTTGTGTATATAAATGCGATAATTATCACCTATGTCTTCATAAAAGATTCTCTTTTCGTAACTTTTAGCTCTTTTAATTATGGTCTTTTTTTGACTGAGCAGTATTTTATGAGCTGCCAAGGTGCACAAAGCTTTTCTTGACAACAAACCTTTATGTTCCATACATAAGTCTGAACCTAATTCAGAAGACAATCAGCCTTACAGGCATATGTGATGGTTTGTATACTAGCCGTCTCTTTCTTGGGATACTAACTTGCACGTATTAGAGAAAACCTCCTGGTGTTTTTCTGTCTGTTTTTCTCTCTGTTTGGCAACTGTTTCTAAAATTGACTTGATGGCTAAAAGAGTTCCATTTTTTCGATTTCATCCCTTTTTCATTGCTGTAGAATTACGCCTTCTATTTGGCAGTTTAAGGTGGCTATTTTTTCATTGTGGTTGTTTTTTGTTTCATTTTTAGAGAATATTTTTCCACGTCATGTAAGATCGAAATGGTTGGTTAACTTAGTGGGAAGCTAAGACAGGAAGTTTCTGTCGATCATTTGCACGTTGTTATCAGCTGCAGTTAATGTTTCACACATTATGTTCAAAATTTTCATTTTTGTACTAATTCTCGATGTTCAAAGTGTCATGCGATTATTAGAATAAAAATGAAAAATTTGAACATAATGTGTGAAACACTAACTGCAGGTGATAATTCTCCATCGTTCTGTCTTGACTATTACGAAATGATTTTTGGAGTAGTGAAAAAAACTCGCTCTGATGCATCAGAGGAGGGTTGAATTAACAAAACCTTCTTGCATGCTGAAGCCCAATTTTTCATGTTGAGACCACCAGGTGGTAACAAAATACTCTCGACCTGCCCAAGGCCCGGAATCAGTCAGTTTTTGTCACTATTATTCCGGCATAATTCTCGATTCTTTTGCTTCACTATTATGCTCAAAATAATGCTGGCATGATGTGTAAACCCCTAACTGTGTTAATCCCCTTAATTTCAGCTAACTGCTTAAAAGCCGCTGGTGACACCGCAAGTTTTATTAAAGTTCCTCTGCGATACTTGGCTCCAGAAGTTGGAATATGTTCACTTGCATATCTTCATTATCTCCCTTTGACCGCCGTGGCGGCATTTTCGCTTCAGTAGTAGAAAGAAGAAAGAAAGCCTCAGAGACCAGGGTGAGTTCGGGTTCGGAGCAAC